ATTTCGCCGGGCTCTTCCCTAAATAGGCAGATCGGCGGGTTTCGGATCGGACTCCATTTGGGCCAACCCGGTCCGCCCATTTATTTATCGGACCTATATCATTAGGTCCAAACTCTTAATTTTTCGGGTGGATTTTGGACCGGGTTTAGGTTTCGGATTTTATTGACATCCCTAATTATCATCCAAAAGATCACTGCACCACCATCTAATGGATATTCCATCTAAGTTAGTTTCACTAAAATTTTCTAAACATCATCTCAATTTAAATCTAGCAAGATTCGGATACTCATAATCCCGATATCTGCCAGATCGAGATTAAAACCCGCAATACTCAAATCCGTAAAATTTACAAAATTATGTTAATTTAAATTGTTTTTATCAGTATATATATAATTTTATATATATACAGACTGATATATTTTTTATAAATTTGGGATGAAGGCGAGTTGATATTTAGAAAATTAGGGGTATTTTAATCATTCTCTAAAACGTAGAAAAAGTCGTATCCGATCAACTGACAATATACCTAATTCATGCACAGAGACACTACAGTACTACATATGTAAATAGACCAAGATTCCTCTCTCATCTTATATAACCCTTTTATAATTAACATAATTATGTTTTTATCCAAATCCCCGTGGAGTTAAACGTGTATCTCTATTGGGGTTACATTTTAGATTTTGTTACCGTAATTTTTTTCTTTTGAATTTGGAATTTTTGGTTTCCAGAAAATTATACCATTTCATTTCCATTATAAATTTAATTTGGTTTTATTTTTTAGATTTTGGTATGACTTTTGAAAAAAAAATTGTTAACCAAGAGATTCACCGATCTAACTAGACTCTCGAATTTCGAAATCGACCTTTAATCACAAAACTAATTGTATCCCTTTTTCTCTCTTTTGCGGAATTAAACTAGGGATCTCGTGTAATAAGTAGCACCCCAACCACTCCTCACATTTTTCATACACCGCCACTAAACCACCACAAGGTGAGTGAATTTAAAATTTTTATTGATAAAAATATTATTTAATTATTTTAATTATTTTTATATTCCGATTTAGATTCAAAATTTTCAATTAAGAAACATTAGTTTTTCAAATCAATATCAATTTGAAGAGTGCCATTTCCTATTATTGGATTTTGTATTATCCGATTTTAGTTGGGTTTTGTAAAACCGAACAAGAACTCCTTATCAACTAACAACGTAAAAGACAATGAATAAATAAATAAATAAATAAATAAAATTATTCTGCATATTTCCATTTGTCGTGGGAAAGCTGTGTAAATGACGCGGTTCTAGTCAAACGTATAAACGTTTCAAGTATTTCTTTTTGGTTAAGTTTGGTTTAAACTAGATACCGGATTATCCGGTTTGCAAATCTAACAATTCAGCACAAGCAGAACCAAACCCGGTTTAGTGACAACTACAGCAAGAGTATCTCAGAAAGCTCTCCACTTGTTCACTGATGTCTGAAAAACGTACATAGACAGAGAATCAATCTCTCAGGCAGATTTCAGGAACTTCAAAGTCTCGTCGATATGTTTCTCGGGTTGGAACTGGTTGTTGTAGATGAGCTGGACGACCCCGTTCTTGTCGAGAACGTAAGTCTGTCTCCCCGGCAACGATCCGAAAAAATCTCCCGGTATCCCCCATCCTTTCCTCACTTTGTTCCCTTCGTCGCTCAACAATGTGTATGGTAATTTGTATTTGCTCGCAAAAGCCTGCAAAATCCCCGAGTCACATCATCTACATAACCGAAAATCTTTCGTCTAGAAGGTTCACCGAGCCTTCGCCCCACTTAGATTTTAATCATGCAATTAATTGTGCTCCCTCTTCTCCACTATTGGAATCGAACCAATGACGTTGTAGTAACTTTGTTATTTCTCAACCACTGCATCACCATCTAGTGGGTTTTTTTGGCTCTAATTCGTTGACATGTTACTGAAAACAAATTGTACAGCAATGCGCATTCCACAGAACAGAGAATGAAGCCCAGCACGGGTGGTATGAGACGAGGTATCCGGACCGCAGGGTTTTGCCCTCGTGCGATGGGTTACCAGGGGTGTCGTCGACAAGTAAAATGGCGTTCGTACCCCTGTTTTTTTAGCATAATCACGATAATGCCCATGTATATTTTAATGTGAAACCCTGATAATCAACGGATACCCGAATCTCGCAAAGTGAAACCTGTGGGGGCGAGGCCAAGGCCCGATATCCCAAAAACTCGGGTACCCAACCCGAGTCCACCCCTAGAACAACAACTCGGTGTGCCAAGAAATTTACTGAAGAAGCGAAAATGGTTTCTTTACTGAACTTTTTACCTTATGAGATGCAGTGTCATCACCGCTGATCCCAATCACCTCAGCACCGGCTTTCTTGAATTTCTCATAAGAGTCCCTGAAAGCACAAGCCTGTCCAAGCAACAAAAGCACAACAGCTTGATGAAATCATTTTAGTATGTACGCATAGAAACAAGCTACATTTAATAATATAACAAACTTCTACACTATCCGTGTATATGTGTGTGTGTGTGTGTATGTATATACAGGCCGGGGTAGAGAAGAGGGGGAAAGGACCTGCTTGGTGCAGCCAGGTGTCTCGTCAGCAGGGTAGAAATAGACGACGACCGGCTTCCCTCTGAACTTCTTCAGGCTCACCGGTTTTCCGTTCTGATCCTTCAAGGTGAAGTCTGGTGCAACCTGTCCCTGGCTCACCTACAATATACATACATGTATACACATACACATACACATACAATCAATGCACATTCTACGCTGTAACACTTATAACCACAAACACGATTGAATTGTACCTTGGCAAGGATTGAGCTTTTCACAGGAGAAGGAGAGGAGAGAGATGAAGGGTGGGGTAATCTCAGGCCATAGAACTGGGATTCCAAAGATTTGGCGGCGAAAGAGAACTGGGTCTTTGAGAAAACGGATCTCGGAGATGGTTTGTGGGGCAGAGAGTGGAATGCCGTGTGGTTAGAGAGGGTGAATGAAGAAGCAGCCGCCATTTTCTCCCTTCCGAAAAAGCTTCGTCCAAAGGAAGAAGAAGATGGATGGAGATAGGGGAAAGGGTTGGGTGAGTGAGTGGAGGACGCATGGTTGGTGGGAATTCCAACACGTCAACCTCAAGGAACATCATCCAACACGTTAATCTTTGTTGTCCATGGGTTTTTGTTTAATTATATTCATTCAATATATACTTATTTTTTAAAACGAAATTAATTATTTATTATTTTTATATTTAATTCAGGTTCAATTTTTGGAGTTTTAGAAAATCATATACATTTTTTTATTTTTATATGGAATTCGATTACAATATGATTATGTGTTATTCAATTCGATAATTCGATTCTCGCTACATTTTTGTTTCACCGTAATGATATGATACGTAGCATAACTCATATTTTTTTATATTAAGAATGAAAATAAGATTTATTTCTCATTTGTAATAGAATGGAGACATTAATGATTCGCTGGGAACAATTTTTTTTTTATATCAATGATTACATTACACCGAAGACTTGTTACAATGCAAGAGATTCATACGATGCCATTTTATTGTTTTTCTTACATAGATTTGCAACCATAATAAGATGTGATGCCAATTATTTTAACTATTACATCAAATATAGATTTGAATCCTTGGTTTCATTTGGGTACGAGACCAAAGAAACGAATCAGCGGGTTCTCACTCCTTTTCTTCTTCGTCACACACGCAGTTCGGGTTTGGGCCAGAGGCCGATGCCTGGTTCGAGCCTGAGCCCGAGGCTGACCCTGAGGCTGAACTTGATGCTGATGCTGCGGCTGCGGCTGCGGCTGTGGCTGAGCTTGAGGACGAGGATGATGATGAGAATGGCGGGTTCATCATTCCTATCATCGTCTTCGGACTGGCACCACCATCCGTAGGCTTTGATGGGTTCTCTTCAGGTTTCAATGGGTTAGTGGGCATCAATGGGTTAGGCTTTGATGGATTAGGCTAACTGATCCTTCAGCTTGAAGTTTGGTGCAACCTTTCCCTTCCTCACCAACTGTCGACGGCATTCCTATCATTGGACTCTTCGGGCCTGTACCATCATCCTGTGGACTTTCCCCCGGTTTTGATGGGTTCTTCGACGCTCCCTTACCATCACCTTTTTTAGGTTTAAACGGGTTCATAGATTTCGATGGGCCCTTTCCATCACCTTTCTTTGGTTTAAATGGATTCAAAGATTTCGAAGGACTTTTTCCATCACCTTTCTTAGACTTAAACGGGTTCAAGGCTTTAGCAGGACCCTTTCCACCACCTTTCTTAGGCTTAAGCGGGTTCAAGGCTTCCGCAGGACCCTGCCCATCACCTTTCTTAGGTTTAAATGGGTTCAAAGATTTCGACAGACTCTTCCCATCACCTTTAAGTGGGTTCAAGGCTTTCCCAGGACCCTTTCCATCACCTTTTTTAGGCTTAAGCGGGTTTAAGGCTTCCGCAGGACTTTTTCCATCACCTTTCTTAGACTTAAACGGGTTCAAGGCTTTAGCAGGACCATTTCCATCACCTTTCTTAGGTTTAAATGGGTTCAAGGATTTCGCAGGACTTTTTCCATCACCTTTCTTAGGCTTAAACGGGTTCAAGGCTTTCGCAGGACCCTTCCCATCGCCTTTCTTAGATTTAAACGGGTTCAAGGCTTTCGCAGGACCCTTCCCATCACCTTTCTTAGGCTTAAGTGGGTTCAAAGTTCCATCACCTTTCTTAGACTTAAACGGGTTCAAGGCTTTAGCAGGACCCTTTCCACCACCTTTCTTAGGCTTAAGCGGGTTCAAGGCTTCCGCAGGACCCTTCCCATCACCTTTCTTAGGCTTAAACGGGTTCAAGGCTCCCGCAGGACCCTTCCCATCACCTTTCTTAGGCTTAAGTGGGTTCAAGGCTCCCGCAGGACTCTTCCCACCGTCTTTCTTTTTCTTAGGCTTAAGTGGGTTCAAGGATTTCGCCGGGCTCTTCCCATCGTCTTTCTTTTTCTTAAGCGGGTTCAAAGATTTCGATGGACTCTTCCCGCCATCTTTCTTTTTCTTAAGCGGGTTCAAAGATTTCGACGGGCTTTTTCCATCGGTAGGCGAACCAGAGCCAGGTGGTGAAGAACTCTTGGGCTTAAACGGGTTCTTAGATTTCGACGGACTTTTTCCGGCCTTGCGCTTCAAAGGGTTCAACCGTTGGATCGGAGACTTGGGCTTTGGTGGCTGCGATGGGCCTTTTCCAGCTTTGGACTTCAAAGGGTTCAACCGTTGGATTGGAGATTTGGGCTTTGGTGGGGGAGCGGGCTGCGATGGGCCTTTTCCGGCCTTGCGCTTCAAAGGGTTCAACCGTTGGATCGGAGACTTGGGCTTTGGTGGGGGAGCGGGCTGCGATGAGCCTTTTCCAGCTTTGGACTTCAAAGGGTTCAACCGTTGGATCGGAGACTTGGGCTTTGGTGGCTGCGATGGGCCTTTTCCAGCTTTGGACTTCAAAGGGTTCAACCGTTGGATCGGAGATTTGGGCATTGGTGGGGGAGCGGGCTGCGATGAGCCCTTTCCAGCTTTGGACTTCAAAGGGTTCAACCGTTGGATCGGAGACTTGGGCTTTGGTGGGGGAGCGAGCTGGGATGGGCCCTTTCCAGCTTTGCGCTTCAAAGGGTTCAACGATCTCTTGGGAGGCTGCAGCGGGCCACCGACCTGAGGTGGGTTCTTCTTGTTTTCCTTCTTTACACACTTCAACGCTTCGGAGGCATGTTTCTTTGGACGGAACTGGCTCTTGTAGACCTTCTTCACGACCCCGTTCTTGTCAAGAACGAACGTCACTCTCCCTGAGAATGCTCCTGTGATGTTTCCTCTTACTCCCCACTTTTTCCTCACTTTGTCTCTTCGGTCGCTCGCCAATGTATACCGCAGTTTGTTCTTTGACGCAAACTTCTGCAAAAAGTCACATACACAGATAGCGTTTTTAGAGATTAAGAACCGTGGATTGACAAGAAAACACGACACAAAGATAAGAGTGCTTTCTGTTCAACTACTTCTGTCTTGTTTTCGCCTTTTTTCCGTGGCCTCGATACGATGTATGCATAACACTGTCTTAGGGATGGTTTTTTAGTTTTACCCTGTGAGATCTAACACAGTCATCGCTGATTCCGATGATGTTGCAGCCGCCCGCTTTCTCGAACTTCTTATGCGTTTTCTTGAAAGCAGAAGCCTGTATGCACGACCCAAAACGATCAGTTCATATGAGATCTTGCACCTTATATATCTCATATCTTCACTTGCTTGTATACTTTAACATAACAAAAGGATGGCACTTTTCAGAATGCGTAGTAATATCCGGATCCCGAACGAGCAGATATGACGAGGAAACACACGGACGACAGAGGATAGAAAGAGTTACCTGCTTCTTGCAGCCAGGTTTGCCATTGCCGGGATAGAAATAGACGACACAAGGCTTCCCTCTGAAACTCTTGAGTTCGATCTCTTTCCCAAACTGATCCTTCAGCTTGAAGTTTGGTGCAACCTTTCCCTTCCTCACCTGCACACAATCAACATACACACACACATATAAAATGATGGTAAGGTTTCGAATTCCGATTCTTGTATATCCAATCTATCTACTAGAACACACAGAAGAAAGAGTTGTTGTATATCATATGCATCATCTGAGAATCTGAAATCTACTGTCATCATAATTCATAAACTTGTTCTACTTTACAACGGTCGTTGGGTTTCAGAGATTGAATACAAAACAACAAAATGTACAATTCAAGAACTGGGTATTGCAGAAGATGCATATATATATATATATATATAATAAAACAAACGTGGTTGACATATCCATCCATATGGGTATATACGAAAGATAAAAGGAAAAGGTACCTTGGCAATGATACGAGTTCTCGGAGGAAGAGGGTGAGGAGAAGAACGAGTAGGAAGCGGGAGAGAGGAAGATTGGGAGAGTCTGACGCCATGGAACTCGGACTGAAGTGGTTTGGCGGGAGCTGAGAAATGAGACAACGAGAAACGGACTTTGGGAGATGATGTCTGAGGCAAAGACAGAACCGATGTCGGGTTAGAGAAAATGACAGAAGCTGCAACTGCCATTTTTCTTTTGTGGGTTCACTGCTTCATAGAATCTCTGGTCGGTGAACTCATTGTGTGAGCTTGTTAACATCCATGCATGTGTATTTATATATTGCTATTGCTCTCTCCATTTAATGTGGAAAGCTTAAGAAGAAGAAGAAGAAGAAGGAGAAGGTGGTACGGAAAGATCAACTTTTTTGAGGGAATGCAACGCATGAATCTTTGACAATTCCAACAAGTTTTCTCCACAAGGTTTCAACACGTAATTCGTTTTTTTTTTTTGTAGAGCCAAGGCTCCCCAATTTGATGGGCCCCACATTTTCAAAAAAAAATGATTTTTAAATACTAATAATTTGTAATTATATTTATTAATATACGATATGATAAATAATTAAAATTAAGGAAAATCCCATTTTCTCCCACAATTTGTGCCTAATCTCCAAATGGGTTTCAAAAGCAAAAACGTTTTCTCATCAAAGATTTGTTCATCGTTTTTGTTCCCAAACTATATGGTTTGGTATTAGGGGTGGACGTTCGAACTTGAAACCACGAGTGGTTTTAGGTTTCGATTCGGTATTTATCTCATTCGATCTAAAAGTGGTCTATTCGGTTCTATGAAAATTGGACCAAACTAAAACCGAATATTAATCGGGTTGGTGAGGTTTAGTTTTATTATCAGTTCGGTTCGGAACGGTTTTGTTATACAAATACCAAACAAAAACCGAAACTTGATATTCATATATACTTTCATACATAAGTAATTCGGGTTTTGGTTCGATTTTATCGAATTCGGTTTGAAAAATATCTATTCGGTTTTACAAAATTGGGTCGAATTTGATCTAATTCGATTTCAATTCATACCCGTTCAAAACTAAATTCCCAAAACCGAAACGTTCACAATCATCAATCCAAATTCTCGATACCTAAGAGCTTTTGCAGTTCTTGGGAGGGCCTTGAAAATTATAGCAATGGGCCTATAAGCCCAACAATGAAACTTCATAAACTTATAAATGGCGATTATACTTTCTCTCTCCCTCTATATATATAATATATATACATACTGTACATCCATCTTATTTTCACCTTTGTTTCTATAGAATTCTGGATCAGTTGAGTCTGTGTATCTAAGAATCATTTTTCAAATAATTTTTGCAGCCCTTTCCTAGGTTTTTAAGGATCTATGAAACTTGAAAATCTAAAATAGAGGGTGAAATTTTCAGTTTTTGTAAATATGGGGTGTTTCTGTTAACCTTTAAAACTGTTGGGAGGTAAAATGCGATTCTAGCGAAATAAAACAGCTGCTGAAACTGAAAGGGGCACAAGACCGGGGCCTACTGCAACGGAGTTGCGTTCATGGGTCACATGGAAAAGGAACATTAAAAAGGATGTCAGTATATATATTGAAAATCATGTAAAAAGTCAAAACCCCTCAACTTTATCATAATTACACATTTGTCCTAGAAAACTTTTATGTAGATTGGTCAACTTAACACTCAAACAGCCATGAAGAGACATTCTGCTATGCTCTGTTTTTGCTACACTTGAAACAGAGGAGTGTTGATCTGCACTGCTCTCTTCACTTTTATGCTTTGGTTTTATTGTACCTAGTTTGTTATTTTTATATGTATGCGTAAAATATAATATATAATTTATATCTATAAAAATTAAAAAAAAAATTACGACAGAAAATACCATCGCAAATTGCGACAAATCAACGACCGAAATTTGTTTACGACAACGTTGTGTTGACGGTTTTTTTTTCATCGTATTTCGTATCAAAATGTTAATTGTGATGTATTTTTCCATCACAATAGTTAATATTTTTCGTAGTGTTTTGGCTATTGTTTGGATCAACGTAAACCTTTGTTTCGGAAAGACAAAAGTAAGTTCTTTTGAATTTTAGAGAAAAAAATCCGATAAAATATCTAAGTGTTGGTGATTTGAAAAATATTTTATAATTATGCGTTCTATATATATAGTTGGTTCTTTCTTTGAAAACGATCTTGTTAACACTTAAATAATTTGCGGTTTTCTAGTGAAGGTTGAGATTATTACTCATTCAATAATCGAGTTAAAAATTATTACCGTAAAGTTTTAAAATTATAATACTAAAAGGTGATGAAATGTTTGAAAACATTGCTCCTACGCATGTACTTATACCTAGGAATGATTATTTCGGGTTTTCGTTGGGTTCAGTTATATTCGAGTTCGAGTATTTTGGTTATAGAAAAATACAATCATTCGATTTTTAAATCAACTATGATTTTAGTTTGGTTTGGATTTGTTTTTGTATGTTAGAAGAATCAAGATCTAATCGGATTAAATCACTGCTTGGACTTTCTTCGATGCAAGCTCTCGGATCATAACAACATTGGATCCATCATAAGTGCAAATCTTTCAAATATTCTCAAGGAGCCTGATGGAAGATATGAAGCTAAATTGAAGATTATGCAATCGTTGGGCTCAATTAGATATGAAGCAACGATAGTTAAGTATCGTCTTTGTTCTTTTTATTTATTTATTGAGCGATCAAGAGATATTGTACTTGACGTGACGAAATGAATCTAGGACATTTGAATATATAAGATATTGGAAAATCATATTTCTTTTGTCTATCTTTAAATAACAAAATTTGAAAATATTATTTCATCGCCTCAAGTTTGATAGTAATAATACTAATTGAATAAAAAAGTTATTTATTTTTCTAGTAATAAATTTCATATTCTTAAAAAAAATTAAAATGATGTCTTTTGAAGAAAAAACTATTTATAGTTCTCGTTAGCATGAAAATATTTGATTTTTGTTTAGAACAAAACTCGTATTCATGAAATAGAAGCATGTGCGACAAAAATGAAAGTATAGAAGTAATTTCGTAATATATAAAGACTTTGAGGGTCAAATTCTAATTTGATGTTCTTTTTATGTATATGGCCAATTTTCTGGATACAGGAGAGAAACAGAACACTTTGAAAATGGCGAAAGCGACGGAGAAGCCAAGAAAATGTTCATGCGAAAATCAATGAAACTATAAATCCAGAAAAAGGCCAACCCCCAATTTTCGATCTCCCGAAAACGTTAATTTGGATTATTTTACTTTTTTTCTCCACTTGGAAATCTCTCTTCCTCATCGGCGAGAGCTCGCCATCTCGTGCAGGAAGTCTTTACAAAAAAAAAAATCTTCCGAAGCTCCTTTGCATGGCGTTTCATCATCGGGTCCATAACTAAAAGCGCTTCGATTCGTTCTTCTCCTCGGGTAATTTCTACATAAATCTACATATGCTTTAATGAAACATTCATCTCTTTCCTCTTTTATAAATAATATTGGTGGACGGGTGTTGAATTCATTTGGGTTGTGCTAATTTCCGATAATTTTTCAAGTACTGGTTTGGATCTCATCTGGGTTTCCTGTTTCTTGAGCTTTCCTTCATGCGTTCGATGTGTATGAGATTGTCTGGTTCAGTGGGTCCGAAAGGGGATGTTTGGCTTCCTGGAAAATGGGGGGAAAGAGAGAGAAAATAGACAAAACCTGTTGCATCCGTAGGGGTTGGTGCTTTTGAGATTGATGTGGAATCGGTTTGACAAGCAATTCGATAGCTAATATCATTTACGTTGATCGGAGTTTCTTAGGTGAGCGAAGGAAGTAAAATAGGAGAAAATGTTGAAGAAATTAGGGTATCTACCCCACGCCTTGTCGTTTTATGTTACTTGGTAGCGACATTTTCTTGGTCTCTGTGTTTCAGATTCCATGTCCGTAGAGATTTTTGATACACAAATTGCCTCTGTATACGGGACAACAAGTTTGCATATCTGATATCTTGGGACCTGTGCTGGATTTAAGAAATTCCTCTTGATGGTGATCCTCTGTTTGGCTGTCGGGAAATTTAGGCTTTTATAAGTTCATCAAAGTTCTTTCCTTTGAGCAGTGATTTAACAGAAGCGGTGAAACAATAATTAAATTGGCCCGCATCACTGGCTAATGATTTCTGATGCCAGTGGTGTTGAGCAATGGATATCAAAGCAAAGCTAATGTAATTCCAGTGTTGTGTTTATGAATGTAGCTACCGGAGAAGATCGCATGAGAAGTCCGATCTTTCATTGACGAAAAAGTTCCAGGCTTTTTTTTTACCATCGTTCCAAAGGGAAAATGGATGAAAACAACGGGGCGAAGTTGAGTGGAATCAGGCAGATTGTGAGACTGAAAGAGATTCTGCAGAAATGGCAATCTGTGACAATAAAGTCGAAGTCTGATGGCCCGCAAACCGGAGCTAGAAAGCACGGTGGTATCATTTCACCGGCGCTAAGCAAAAGGCTGATGGATGTGAAATGTTGTGACTCGGATGAGGAAACTTGCCAGAGTCCCGAGCCGCCGCTTGATGTCCCGAAAGGGTATTTGGCGGTGTATGTCGGGCTGGAGCTTCGGAGGTTTATTATACCGACGAGTTATCTCAGCCATTCTCTGTTCAAGGTTTTGCTTGAGAAGGCTGAGGAAGAGTACGGGTTTGATCACAGCGGCGCCCTCACCATTCCTTGCGAGGTCGAGACTTTCAAGTATCTACTTCAGTGCATGGAGAACCAACACAAAGATATCCCCGACGACTGCCCTGGTAAGTTCCTATGGTGACTCGGGGTCGGTTATTTCAGGTATCCGCTTACGGATTTGTTTCTGTCTTTGCAGCCGAAGAATCGATAGGGACGGAGGAGTAAACTTAATACGAAAACCGGCCATTAATTCTTCGAAATTTGTTTATCGATCCTCTTGTTCTTGATGGAGATTTGTAGGGCTGATTTGTAAATCAGGTTCTCTTTGTATTTGCCAGGCTTATATATACCTATCTTTCTTCTTCTCCATCTCTTTTCATGGAGAAAATTAGGGAGAATTTGTTAGTGTGAAGGATTTGGTCGTCAAGTGTGTGTTGTGATATGCAAAGCCCTTTAACCCTTTTGTATGTTGTCCCACGCAAAAAAAAAAAAAAAAAAAAAAGGAGAAAAAGAAAAAAGAACCAATTAAATTAATAATAGAAAATCAATAACTTTTTTTTTTTGATAAAAAACACAACTATATAATCATAAAAATATATAAATTTTAGAAAAAAAAATTAAATGTAATATAAAATTCCTTGATATAATTATAAAAAAAATCCTTGATATAGTAAAAAATATGAAGATCTAGAGTTTGTATCGTATAAAAATAATATGTAATCTAAGTGATAATATCTTCCTAAATTAATTATAAATGATAATACTTTACATATTTCGGTATATCCTTATTCCAAACGTCCAAATTGAAAATACAGTAAAATAATATAAGATTAAATCTGACTAAAATTTATAAACTTATCAAATAATGGAAAACTAATTCCTAAATTTTTTAATAAATTTATTCTTAAATTTGTTAAATACAAGTATTTCATTACAATTCCTCTACTTATTAATACTGGTTAAAATATTAATCTAGAAATCCGATTAATATCATGTGTGTGGCACTAGGGGTGGCTAATTCGGGTTTCGGTTCGGGTTCGGTTCGGTTATATTCGGGTTCGGTTATTTCGGTTATAGAAAAATTATAACCATTCGGTTTTTATATAAATTCCGGTTCGGTTCGGTTCGGTTATTTTTCAGTTCGGGTTCGATTCGGTTTTGGTAAAAAGTTCAATTTTCCAAAGAAAATGTCGGTTATTCTCTCAGTTTTTTCGGTTATTTTTTATTCGGTTCGGTTCGGTTTCGGTTTCGGTTTTTCGGGTTTAAGTAAATCATAACCGTTCGGTTTTGATGTCGGGTTCGGTTCGGATACGGTTATGTCTTATTCGGTTCGATTCGGTTCGGCTCGGTTATTCGGTTAATAACCGAAATGGCCACCCCTATGTGGCACCACATCAAATCACTTATTTATGCCACATGGTCTATGATGTGTGAAGCCATATAAGATGTCGATCCATGAATTTTTTTTTGTTAAAACATGAATTTTTGAATCAATATAGGCAATGGTTTTGTCTATACCAATTATTAAATTTGAGAATTATAATGATATATTTTTGTAAGAGTCGAAAATAAATTTATCTGAGTAAAAAATTTAATTTTTTTTATTAGTTTATAAATTCGAAAATTTTAATAGAATTTATTCACAAATATATATATCGTCCTTAAAGATACGATTAGAACACGCAAAAAATCCGTTGAAACTTTTATTGAATTACTTATTTATATTATATTAAACAATTATAAAAAATTGATTTCCTTCAGATACAAGCACCGTGTCGTGGTTATCTTCTTCGACCCTGAAAACCAGTTATATAGCATCCTTCCATCTGCTTCCTTCTCTCTGTGTCTCATCCCGATCTAAGATTCAGGTTCTTCCTCCGATTCATGATCCTTCCTTCTTCGGTTTTTAATTTTATTAATTCTGATTTGCCCAGTGTTCGTCGAGTCTTTTGTTCTGTTGATTCGGAAAACTCTTTTATTGAAATCACTCTAGGGTTTTCCTTTTTTTGTGTGTGTGTGTGTGTTCGGGAATTATTGTTGTGTCTGGCTATGTATGCGATGATGGAGGTTTACGTGGGCTGTCTGACGGAGAAAAACGGAAAATTGAGCTAATTTCTTTTTCTTTTCTGTGGGTTTAGCTAATTATGGCTGCTATTCGCTTCAAAAGCAGTACTATTGTGTTCTTCACTCTTCAGTTTTAGGGTTTGTGAGAAATATTCATGCTTTAGTTAGGTGATAGGAAAGCTGAGTTTATTGTATTGTTGTTTCTATCTGCTCATTGAACTTCTTTTCTATAAATTTTGGCAGCTACATAGATTTTGGATTTACTGATTTGAGCTTGGATTTAAGCAATGGCGAATCTTGATGGAAAAGCTTCCTCTTATTCTTCCCTCTCTAATTTGGAGAAGAAAAACATCAAGTACCACCTTGATGATGATCATAACGATGTACCAGAATGGTCCGTTCGGGCAATCTCTACAAAGGAACAATCTGTCTATCCGATCATTGACTCGGAAGATTACGTAGATGGCGATTATGATTCAGCTGATGAGGTTTTGACCCCCAGTCCAAGAAGCGTGACTCCTGAAGTGAACTTGAAAAATGTGTTAACAGGTTTGATAGCTATTGTAACCGGGGGGAACAAAGGCCAATCTGTCTTGTTGGATCGGAATAGTAGCCCCTCGTCAAATGTATCTTTTCTTGATTATAGCAAGAATGGAGAGATTTATGTGCACCCATCTGTTTACATTCCAAGTGCTCCACCTCTTCTCGAACAGAGCGTGATTGACTATAATGTTCACAAGGAATTGCTTGAAGCTGAGCCTCCCGAGTGGTTACCCGACAGTTCAACTACTACTTGCATGCAGTGCTCTGCTCCTTTTACAGCGCTTACCCGTGGCAGACATCATTGTCGGTTCTGTGGAGGGATTTTTTGTAGAAACTGTTCAAAAGGAAGGTGCTTAATGCCGAGTAGATTTCGGGAGAGAAATCCTCAGAGGGTCTGTGATGCGTGCTATGAGAGGCTTGATTGTTTGCAAGGGTTTCTCATCGCCTCCATTAGTAATGCTGCGCAAGTAGCAAAGCACGATGTCGTGGACTGGACATGTACAAGAGGATGGCTGAACCTTCCAGTTGGTCTATCCATGGAAGATGAGATATATAAGGCATCTAATACATTGAGAAGTTATTGCCAGGTTTGATATCACCCAATGTTTAGAGGATTGCTGTTCTTAAATAGCCGTATTAATCTTTGTAACTGATGATTCAGATCTGTTATTTCCTGTGCACTTGGCTCCCCTTTTGCTGTAGTAGATAAATGGAATTGTAGTTATACTTTCATATTTCACAATTTAAGAGTTTTTCCTGTTGTTTGTCAAACACACAGGTCGCAAGCTTAAACCCCGAGAAACCTATACCCTATGCAGTTCTTAGTCGAGCTAAAGGCTTGGCAATTTTAACAGTCGCTAAAGTTGGGGCTTTGGTGTCATACAAACTCGGGACTGGGCTCGTCATCTCGCGAAGGTCAGATGGGTCATGGTCTGCTCCATCTGCGATACTTTCAGTTGGGTTAGGATGCGGTGCTCAGGTAAATACCATACGTCATGCTATACACCATATATTTAGTTGCACTTTCCACGGTGATATAACTCTTATTTCTGGACAAATGTGTAGCTGCAGTTGTTGCAAAACATGATAACAGTCTCCCTTGCCACTAGATAGATTTCGATGTTCATTCTTCCCTTGGATATGGTCCATGACTCCAAGTGATCATCTTTATGATTTCTGCCTTTTGTTTTCAGATTGGAGGTGAATTGATGGACTTCATTATTGTGCTTCACGATCTGAAAGCGATAAAGACCTTCTGCAGCCGATTGCACTTCTCTCTCGGCGCTGGCTGCAGTGCTGCAGCCGGGG